ATAGAGCGGCTGCCAGAAAGGTTGTGCGGGCAACTCGGAGATCATTGATTAACCCTAGCATTGGGTCCCAATCTCTGGCGTGTCACATTTTGGTCACCAACACTGTTTACACCTAATCTACAGGCGCTTTGAGTACATCATCTACACCATCTTCAAATGGTATCATTTTTCTAAGTATGGCTATATCTCGAGAATGGACACATCCTTCCTTTGGCTGACAGATGTGCGCTATCAAGTCATTTGGACCCAATTCCTTTCTTTCGATGAAGATTCACCACATTGCACCAGTGCACACCATTTTGAGGTGGAAGAGGCCTATAATGGGCACCATGAACTGTACACGGCTGCAGGGCATTGATTCCTCTTCCCGGGTCATTTGCAAGCTGCGTAGATGTTGGATGGTAAGGAGGTCTCCAGATACCAGAGTGACCTGGTTCTGTGGGTCTCGTGCACTCGGTGTATGATTCGGATTGCCAAGGTTGTCATAGGTGTACAATGTGAGGAGGGTTCTCCTGGTGTTGCTATGCATCATGATACTCAAGCAGAGGACTTGTTTCTGGAAGGAAAGTTCTTCAATTATGTATGCCGCTGACTTTAATCACTCACAATCACAACTAGGGAGTTGAACTGGTAGTTGTTCTACAACGAAAGAGCTTTTATAGCCAGTAGATATGTATATATTGAACTTAACACGACATTACAAGTTGGAGTATGACAAGTATGCTACGGTGGCCTACCACAGCACAGTTCTGTACTACGTGTTCCATAGCCTCTCCTCTACCAAGTACTGCTGCTGTATGAGGATCTGTCATGCAGCCCAAAAAGGCCTTGGGTTGGGACCCAACGTTAGGGTTAATCAATGATTTCGGAGTTCCCCGCACAACCTTTCTGGCAGCCGCTCTATCGCGAGCTCGAGTCTTAGTTTTGTTTATTTGTCCATCCCATCAATGATCACATCATAATATTTGTCATACTGCTAATAGTATGTAGAGACTCCTCGAGTGATACAAGTGGCTGCATTTTGGAGCCTGGCACTGGGGAGGGAAATTATGTATAGTTACTTGCATGAATATACAGAGTGAATTGTAAATCATGTAAATTATGGTATGGGCCGGTTTTCCCACAGAGGTGGGAAACCACTCTCCTTACCCTGACACTCTCCTGCTGCCTCTCGCACTCAACATCTCCGATGCGTGCTCAATGTCACCAGCCATCCTACACATTCGGATCATCGGACACCGCCCCAATTGACCTGTTGCCATCCCTAAATTGCGTGACAGCACGAAAACCCACCAGGACAAGAGAAACACACGGTCTGGCAAGTTTGTGCACTAGAGAGTGGAATGATGCATTGCTGGTCATGTCTAGGGCTTTTTGGAGCACAGGGGGAGATCTTAGAAGCAGTGGATCCGCTGGGTAAGCCCTAAACTTCATTTGAAATGTTTTCATTTCTAATAATTACTGCTATAACATCTATAGGCTAGTTGATCACCAGCCTCGTCTCCCCACCTCTGAAGTCACCGCATCACCATTTGCCCATCGTTGATGCGGCTCCATCCCTTCCAATCAACCGAGCATGGCTCATGGCCCACATCATCCCATATGAGTGCGGCATTCCAAGTGGCATGGCAGTGTTTTTCATCAACGGATACTGCGCACCAGCGAGTTTGTGCACCAGGGACGAAAGGACGCGTCGACAGATGCGTCTGGGGCTCTTTAGGACATGAGGGAAGACCTGAGAAGTGGGAGATCCACTAGGTGAGTCCCATATTTCATTTAGAACTCTGTCATTGCTAACAACATATGCTATCACATCTACAAATCAGTCACCTCGTCTCCCCAAGTCGCTGGATCATGCGGCTTCATCCCTTCCAACCAACCGAGCGCGACGCACCTCATCTCATGCCAAGCGGCACAAAACAAGTGACATGGTCCCATTTTTCATTTGTTATGGATGCCCTCGACATGTGGGGATTTTCAGGCCAGTGGGATGTAGGAGGGTACAATGCTCTTGCAGAGGGGGACTTTATTATTTATCGAGCCCTTGTTTATTTTGTCCCATATCTCTACTTTGTCCTACATACAGCAATGATAAGAGGAATTGGGGGGAATCCAATGAAGTGAAATGCTGAATAGATGTGATATCAGAGAGAGCACCCTGAGCTTGGCAGACCCTGTAAATTGATCGCAGGGACATGCCAGCTCAGAGGAAAGCAAGGGAAAGCATGGTAAATCGAACTGGTTGGCACCACAGGGCCGTAAATCCTGTAAATTGAGCTCAATTTACAGTAAATTTGTCATAGATAAGTTCTTATCCCTAGTTATCCCTGCTTTTCTGACTTATTTGCAGTCTCTTACAGCAAACCACTTCCTCCATCCCCTCAAGAAGCACCAATTTTTCAGTTTTCACACATCTTCAACCTATTCACACATATTCTCAAAGTTTTAGATTTTTTTTTGCATGTTTAATGGCTCACAGCCCATCAACAAGAAGGGGCATCTGAGCCAGTTTCAGCTAAGCCCCAGATATTGAAACAATGAGTGGCGCAGCTGAGACAAAAAACCCATTTTCGTAGAACACATGGATGGTAAACTATGAGTGCAAAATTTGGGAGGGAACACAAGCAGCGGTTGAAGCGGCGGGGAAGAAGAGGAGGAGCACAGGTAGATGCAACATGCCAGGATCACGTGGTCATGTGCACCTTCCCAAAACAGTAGGTACTCCAGTGATCACCGGTAAATTTGTCGACATATGTCGAAAATATCCACCATGATGATGTCACTATTACCATACATAGACTGGTGCCTGATTACATAGTAGGTAGGTCGACCTCTTGCTGCTGAAAAAAAAAATTTGACCTTAGGTCTCTTTTTTTAATCCTGACACCCCCTTGCTCTATTCATTGACTTTGACAACAAATCCTTCATTATCAGAGTGGATACAGTACTCACAGGTTTTATATAGACATCAAGCTATTCAGTTTTTCATTCTGAATATTTCTATCTAAACTTCATGGCCATTGTGAGGATCCATCCTAAGAGGGAAGCTCTCATGCACCTGAAGGTAAGGCAAAGGTGCAGAAGTGGGTTGTGGCGAAGGTAACTCACAGATGGACAAGGAACTCGGAGTTGGGAACAATGCTGGAGGAGGTACGGTGCTGGAGTTGACTACGGCGTCGGACTTGTACGATGCTGGAGTGGACTATGGTGTGGGAGGAGGTACGATGCTGGAGTGGACTTATGGTGTGGGAGGAGGTACAATGCTGGAGTCGACTATGGTGTGGGAGGAGGTACGATGCTGGAGTTGACTATGGTGTCGGAGTTGGTTGGGTTGATGAAAAGAGATATGTGCGTAGCAGGACGAGTTCTGGGTGGAATGAGGCATATGAGGGGTCGTTGGAAAGGTAGAAGGGAGACGGAATCAGATATAGAGAATGCAAGAGGTGGGGAGACGAAGGGATCGAACGCGAGTGAGATCACGAACTGAATCGGACTCCAAGGCATTGCCAGGTTAGTAACAAGATGGGAGCAAGGCTCAACCGGAGCTGGGAGCTAGAGGCTCAACCACACAGGCCTACCACTGAGAGCAGGGCTCAACCAGGAGATAGAGACGAGAGACAAGGAACAGAGAAACAGTTCAGAGGTGCATTTGTAATATCAAGGATGAGGTAGTGAGTACATGATGAGCTACCTAAATACCTAAGAGAAGGATACCAAGGCAACCAAGGAAGAACAATAAGTACAATAAGGATGGGAGGAGACAAGGGAGCATGGAATCACAAGGTAACAAGACAATAAGGGTTGGGATGGAGAAACAAGGCATCATGGTGAAGGGTTCATCTTGGGAATGTCTTGTCGTAGGGCATGAGTGTGTGTGATATAGGAATGGAAGGGAATGCCTAGAGGCCATAGTCAAACAGTGGTATATAGCTAGATTTGGATATCTTACATAATATATTGATCTTTTGTCTTGAACCACCATCTTGTCAGCAGTCTTGCCATCCTCTTGCACTACATGTAGTGCTTTGTATATCTGTACTTCCTACAGTATGCATAATCATGTTGGGCCAGCTGAGTATCTTGTAACTGCTCATTGCTCACTTATGGGTGTTGATCCCAGATCCACCCATTCTTGCCTCCTCCTTCCCTCCACTTCAGTCATCCACTGCCAACTGACTATTAGTCATGCAAACTACACGTAAGTTACATGACTAAATGTCATGGACCATATCTATATTCTAGATATATATGGGTCCTAGAAAGCCCTGAAATCTAAAATATATTCTTGAGATGTGGACCCTGAAATGTCACACAAAAATTATAATGTCTGTAACAGGTCAGTACCGCTGTGAGTGCCTCACCCGCTGGACTATCCCTTTACCATTAGTACTTTCCACTCCCCGATGCATGCTATCAACTGACGATACTCTTATGCTCGCCATATGTCACTTTTTACTTACTTGTACTACGTCACGTGTTTGTTACCGTTGTACTTATACCTTGTGTTGTACACGAGGAATATCATCTTTTTACACACCTACAATCTCTACTGCTTAAGTTCATAGCCCTACCAATGGCTCTCCTTAAGCACCAGGAGAATAAGGCGTCTAGAGTTTATATCTTCGTCGATCCACGCAATCTCCATAGGAACTGTCCTCGGAGATCGGAATACGGGAACGTCGGACCGTCACGTTTCATGACTCCGAGCGTTTGATCGTTAGCAGAGTCTACACACCTTTGTCCGCTAGGGTATCCTACGGCTTTCCCACTCCTTGAGTGATCACTATGTCAAACAGTGGTTCACAAAGGTGGACACTGTGGGATCGCCGATATACCTAGCCGATAAACCTCGACCTATCCTTGCCTCAGTACAACTCGAATCGGCAACGAATCATAGACGCCGTTAATCGCTCGATCTATCTAGACGACCTTCTCCTCGCCGATTTTCAATCTGACAGACTACAACACCTCGAAGAGAGATCCTCCCCTCACCACTAGGGGAGGTAAGCCGCCCTTCAGCGGAACTTTCAGAGCTTCAAGGCTTTCCGCACCAACTGCATCCTCTTTGGCAAGAGTCACGAAAGCCAGCTCTTCGACCCTACCCCTACAAACCGCCTCAAATTGAACAAATCTACCCGATTCTCTAGAGAAGCACCCCCTCATGTTCCACCCTCTTCCAACAACAGCGGCAGCCCCAAATCGAAAGCGTCTTCTTCTTCTCGTTCATCCTCCTCAGTTATGGAGAGTTCGAGTACCTCAAAGCCCAGTGCCAGTACCTTCCCCACAGCGGCCACAGTCAAGGAAGCGAAGGCTCTGGATCAGCGTATGGGTATGGAAAGAGGATATTCGCTTTCTCCAATGTATAATCTCATAATCGAGTATAACAAGGAGAATGGCGGCAACCTTTCCACCGCAGCTGAAGTATCTTGGATACTGCAAAACCCCAACCTCCATCCAAATCACTTCGAACGAAAGACGGGGGACGGGGTCGACCCCTATACGTGTGTAACCCTGCAGCCAGCAAAGCTGAACCGTATTCTCAGAGCGGTGACTGAACTTCAAATTTTCCTTGACCAGATGGTCCAATTAATCGAAGAGAGAGAGAAAGCATTCTGTATCGACCCCGAAGACACGATGGTAACCACTTTGCGAGGAGGCGAAAGTCGATCACAACTAGTAGTGGCCTACTCCATCCTCTCCAAACGACTGCGCATCGCTCAGCAAACTGTAATGAAATACGAAGCGGAATATCGTCATGCGGAAGTACCCTTGTCCCCGATCTCCACGGTGCCAGAACTTTACGAAGATTTTGCTAGGCTGGATTTGGTGAACGACCGCATGAAGTACATGCTGCAAAACATTCCCCACCATCAGAATCAACTCACCGCGGAATCTCTGGACGCACTCAATCAAGGACAGTCTTGGGATGTAGTTCATCCAACTATGCCGATCCAATCCCTCGATGCGCCTCCTCCGCCTACAGAACTCGAAGGCCAACCGAGGATTCAACCTTCGCAACCCGAACCGCACGAGGAGGACAAGGACGAATGGCCCACCACTTCTCAATGGGACGATTTGGAAATGCTCCCCGGTCAAGGAAGAAACGAAGCGGAAGGCGTGGAATCGTCGTTCGGTTTCCAGACTCCTTTCAGGACGGGGAAGACTTTCTTCGATGTATCAAACGTCTCACAACCGACGTCTTACTTTTCGACCCCTGGTTTCAACACGACGCCCGACGTTACGCGAGGATTGCCTACTCCCTCCCGCACTCAGCTAGGTGATAACGTTCGACAGGAAGCTAACGTTAGCACAGCGTCGAAAACCGTCACCGTAGCAACGAAAACGACACAAGTTAACTCTAACCCCTTTAATCATAGCTCAGGACCTAGCTCCAGCTCGAACGCCCCAAACAACGGACCTCCCAACGAAAGGCCGTCTCCTGGAGGAGTACCCCCTAGTGGAGGGTCCCCTGGAGGTGGTCCCGGCAACGGTGGAGGCGGTGGACCTCCAGGAGGGGGCGGGGGAGGCTCACCTCCGAACAATAGAGGAAGTGGACCGCCTTACGGAGGAGGGCCTAACTCCCATGGCCACAATGGAGGCAATCCAGGAGGCAATCCTGGGGGCAACCCAGGAGGCAACGATCCACCAAACCCCCCAGGGGGCAACGCCCCAGGTCCGCCAACGCCTTACAGGATGTTCCCGGCTAACATCAAAGCCGAGCTAAAGATCGAACAACTGCCAGAGTGGGACGGGAACCACTGGACAGCCATCAATTATTTTTGGCAAGTGCAGCAGCTCGCCTTTTTGGGAGGATGGCTACCGGAAGCGTTAGGATATTGGCTCTGGTTCCGTCTCAAGGAGGGATCAGGCGTACGCAACTGGTTTGTAACATTACCTATGATGCACCAATCTTTCATGTGCTCCCACTACTTGAAATTTCTGAAGGGTATCAAGGACGGCTATTTGGGAACCAAATGGCAGCTTAAGATGAACAATTATTACAACAACCAGACGTTCCGCGAAAGGAACCACAAAAGGGAATCCCCTGCTGAGTTTATTACTCGCCGCATTGTTTACACAAGAATGTTAGTTAGTGTCGACGCAGGGGGGCCACTAGAAGTCTTTTACATCATGAGAAAGGCCCCTATAAGTTGGGGGCCCATTCTATTACTGAGTAACATAAAGGATACGAGCGAACTCTATTCTAGAGTTACTGAGCACGAAGAGGCCCTCCTGGAATCCTATCGAGTTTCGAAAGGCAGGGCCCCCCAGTCCATCGATAATATCGCGATGCAACTAAAGCAACTCGGCTTTGTACAACAGAAGCCTCCCTACCAGGAAAAATCCCCGTACCATGAGAAGCCTGCATATCAGGAGAAGCCCCCTTATCAACGTCGAGCTAATCTAGCTGAGAATCCAGACACGACCTCCTCATCTATGCCTGAAGTCGCAGATACCATTACAACAAATTTTGATGCTGACAAACACATTCTCCGTGAAGCCTATCAAGTACTACAGCAGCGCCAACGACCCCCGCCAAAAGGAGGTTACCCCTTTTCGAAAAACGATCATGTCACTACGAAAATGGGGAAATTACCCCCGTCCCCCTGTAAATGCTGCGGCAGTAAGAATCATTGGGACAAAGAATGTCCGGATTGGAATATTTACCTCGAAAGAGCCAATCGGTCAGTCAACGTGGGAGAAAGCACCCCCATGGAAAACGAAGCGGAGACGACCTATCGTACAGCCTACTCGATCTTGCTGAATCAGAGATTAGGGGGGGAAGTGGTGAACCAGTCGCACCTTGAAGAATCTCTTCAGCAGCAGGATTTTAAGGCGGCATCGCTTCTCTCCGAAGTGAGTAAGTCCAGGGAGCGCGAGTCTAGAAACGTTAGACGCGTGTCGGTGGAGGAAGTAGAGGATGAGAGTTGGACGGAATACTTAGCTAAACCAAAGTCGTCAACTCACGTCCTGGAAGAGATTAATGACGCTGAAGCGTCGGCCCATACTGCTACGACGCAGGAGAGGGTCCCGCCAAACTTCAGGTCTCCTCCCACTACAGACTCTGGAACAGAGGATCCAACCAAGTCCCTCCCTGACCCACCAGTGGTGGAAGCTCGAGTTAAGTTGAAGAAACGTCGTTACACCCCAGCGGGTGCCTCAGCCGTAGGAGTTTCGGTAGTGGCAACTCAGGGATGGGTAGGGTCGACAAGGAATCCGATCGTTGATTTGAGAATGGACTCGTGCGCGGATGTGACACTGATCTCCCAGGAATATTACGAATCTCTTAAGGATCGACCCCCCATTCAAAAGGGATTTAAAATGAATCTCTGGCAGCTTACCGACAAAGACTCGAAGATTCAGGGATACGTCCGATTACCTGTATTCATGAGGTCAATCGAGGGTACGATAGTCGAAACGGAAGCGGAAGCTTACATCGTCCCAAACATGACTGTACCCATCCTCTTAGGCGAGGACTACCACTTGAATTATGAGCTACTTGTTGCACATAAGGTCGATTTTTGTTCGATGATTGGTTTCGCCGGCGCCCTGTACTCAGTGCAAGCTAGAGGGGTCGCCAGGACAAGAGATTTCGACAGACTTCGTCAAAGCGCCTACGCAGACAGGAGCTTCATTAAAGCTAAACTTCATAAGCGCAACAAAGCGAAGAAAGCGCGGAAAAGGAAAAGTGCTGGGATAGAACAACGAACAATTCGAGCAGCTGAGGATTACCGCCTCAAGCCAGACGAGTGCCGTCGAATCAGAGTAGATGGGCACTTTGAGGAAGACCGAGAGTGGTTAGTCGAAAAGAATCTTTTAGCAGATTCTAACGACTCAGCTTTCGTAGTCCCGAATGTGTTAATATCCTCTACTGACCCGTGGATCCCCATATCCAACCCCTCTTCGCATCCTAGGACCATTCGCAGAGGAGATATAGTAGGCTACTTGGTCGATCCACAAGAGCATTTCGATGTGCCGGTAACAGAACACTTCAGTCACCCACTAACAACTGACTATTAGTCTTGCAAACTCCATGAATACTACAGGACTAAATGTCAGGGTGTATATCTATATTGTATATATCCTGGGGCTTGTATATCTCCACTTTTACGTGAATATATTTTGACATCCAATGTCACACCAAATATATTTCTAGTGTGTCACACACCCCAAAATATATTTCTTCACTGAGATGGACACCAAATATATTTCTTATGCCTGGACCCTGAATTGTGACTGTCACACTGTAGAAATATATTTCTGGTCTGGGATGGACTTAGGATATATTTTGCAGCTGGGGTTGACCAAGGATATATTTCTTCAGCCACTAGGGGTGTCTGGGGTCCCAGTTTCTAAAAAAAAACTTGTGATTTTCTGTAATGTGGGACATATATTCCAGATGATGTTTCTACTATTTTTAGGGTTTTAGCCACCATCTGGAGCTGTGTTTCCTTGACTGTTTGTAGGATATACATAGACCATTAGCATGGCTTCCATGAAGGCTGCAACAGTCTGACTGTCCATTTTTTTCTTATAGCACTTGAATATTGTGGATAAGAAAAAACCCCTTTGGATGGGAGGACTATGACTGGGGGAATGAACATCATAGATCAAAACCATGTTCAGCAATGAACATGGTTAATCCAAACCATTCAAGTTGGAGGACTATGACTTGAGCAATGAACATTCTAGATCAACAGAACTGGTCAAGTTGGAGGGCTTTGACTTGGACAATGAACAAGATCAACCATTGAAGTTGGAGGACTATGACTTGGGCAATGAACATTGTAGATCAAAATCATTCAAGTTGGAGGACTATTATATATTTACATATACTTATAAGAAACACGGGAACTGTGCTGTGACACTAGGTGACAGGATAGCAGAATGAGGTAAAGGCGCAGGTGATGCAGATGGATGCACAAGATTGGAGTGCAAGTTGGCTGAGGAGGTGTTGGGAGTGGTTCCAACTTGAGGGGATCCATGTGAGGTTTGGAATGTGTGCAGAGGTGTCGTGCATTGCTTATATTGAAGGCAAGGAGGAAGAGGGAGTAGGGGTGGCTGCAATGTAAGAAAAAAAAGTGTTGGGGACCAGGTGGGCTCGCCTGCCGCTAAAGCCTGTGATAGTAATGGAGACTAGGTGGCTGTGAAATGACTATGCAGCCACAAACATGGCAACTTTTTGCAGGCCCCGAAGCTCATGCCATTTCTTGTCCGCAACTTGCAAGTCTGTCTGTATATTCTAAACCAACGTGATATTGATGTACTACATTGATTGGGGTAGCCTAGTTAAATATTTGCACCTTGAGAAAAGCAATGCTGGACACAAGTGTGGTGATCCATTTCAGCCTGAGTGACACTTGGAACTAGAGTGACTAGGGCATTATCAAAGTCTACTTGTGAGACAGCCACCAGTAAGTCATCAGGTGCTGCAAGTTCAGACAGAAAATATTGCGGGGTCATTGGATAGGGATGTTGACCCAAACTTTCTGATACTTTGTTCATGTCAGCTGAGAGAAGTATGTCAATAATAAAAGTGCAAAAAACTTCTGCATTGACCTACCTATCTTGGACTCCAAAAAGTCCGCTTTGCGTAACATTGCATTGAGCATTGCATCCAAGCAAAGAGCATAGAAATCAGCCCCAGTGTAGTTAAAGGGGCACTGCTCTGCAATGCAACCCAAGTCTATGTCTCAATCAAGTTGAAAGTTCCTTGTCAGGGCTTCAAGAATATTGACCTGGGCTTGGTGGGACTCGCTCACACCCAGATAGAGCAGACAATCAAATCTATACTCATTATTCATGTGCTCAAGAAGAGTCAAGAAAAGATTGGAGACGAACCTTCCAGGTTGTAAGAGGGCAGGATTGAGGTGATCACTCATGCATCTATTTTTAGATGAGTTCTCCTTTCTATGAGGCTCTTGTCTTAACAGCTCACTCTCTAAGCCACATAAGTTTTCACTCAGCATTAGAACAGCTCTCACGATAACAGCTGACTCTATCTATGTAGTATTACTGTTATCTATTTCATCACCCACCTCCTTATATTGTATACTATGTAGCACTTGTCTATTGTTATACCTCTAATAAAAATGGCAGCATGCACCCAATTTCTGACTTTTGGCTATTTCCTCTCAAATCCTTCTCATACTGCCTCTGCAAATGTCCACAAGCCCAGACGTCATTGGCACTGTATAAAATTACGGTCAGTGTATGGTGGATATACATTTTCTTTACACATCTTCTTGGTATATATATTTGCAAAAATATATCCACAGTAAATATCCACTCCCCTTGAACTGTGTGAGACTATCATCCTTGCATATATCACAGAATATATCCAAATGACAGTATATATACTTAGAAGATATATCTGAAGTTATATATCCAAGTAACAGTACATATGCACTTTACACATCCTCTTGATATATATTTGCAAAAATATATCTATAGTATATATCCAAATAACAGGATATATGTACTTAATAGATATATCTGAAGTTGTACATATATCCAAGAACAGTGCAGATATACTTAGTATATTCATGTGTAGAATTCAGGAGAGAAAGGCACAGTTTATTCAATATAACTACATAATGTTACATTACTACATTAAATACTAAATAAAGGGAAGGGGGAGGGAATGAGGGAGGGAGGTTGTAGGCAGTGAGGAAGAGGGGTGGGGGTGGTGGCTAATGAGGGACAGGGGAGAGGGGTGGTGGCCAATGAGGAAGAAGGGAAAGGGGTGGTGGGCAATCAATGAGGGAGAAGGGAAAGGGGTGGTAGGCAATGAGGGAGGGGGAAAGGGGTGGTGGGCAATGAGGGAGGGAAGAAGGGGGTGTAGGTAATGAGGGAGAGGGGGAGGGGTGGTAGGCAGTGAAGGAGAGGGGTGGTGGGCAGTAGGTAGAGGGGCAGGGGGTGGTGGGCAGTGAGGTAGAGGGGAAGGGGTGATGGGCAGTGAGGGTGGGCTATTGAGCCTCGTCGACAGGTGTGGGTGGTGGGCGCTCATAGCGTCTTCGTCGTCGCCATCCGTCGTTTGTAGGCCCTCGTCGTCGTCGTCCGTCGTTTGCACGCCCCCGTCGTCGTCGTGGTCCGTCGTTTGCATGCCCGGCTCCTCGTCGTCGTCCTCCGTCGTTTGCACGCCATGCTCCTCGTCGTCATCCATCCTTTGTACGCCCTCCTTCTCCTCGTCGTCGGTACGCCGTCATTGTCGTCCGTACGCCGTCGTCGTCATTGTCGTCCGTACGCCGTCGTTGTCGTTGTCGTCCGTACGCCGTCATTGTCATTGTCGTCCGTCGTCTGTACGCCGTCGTTGTTGTCTGTGTCTTTCACCCTCTGGTGTCCTCGTCACTGGGGACGTTTCGCGTCATGGCATGGTGATGTGGGGTACTAACCGTCAATCGCCAGTTGGCGGTCGACGGTTGTGGTGTTGTGTTAGTTACGTGTGTGGTAGTAAACGTGGGGGGGCTTACCGTATCCATTATATACTGTCAACGACGACGACGTGATCGTCGTCGTCGTCGTCGTCTGTCTCTGTCGCATAGTGCCACGTCGCAGACTGCGACGTGGCCCCGCTGGCTCGTGAGGTCGTTCGTGGCTTTAGGGCCATCGTGTGAGCCGCTCGTGGGCGCTGGTGGTCGATCGTCTTGGGTGCTGGTCGTCGTTTGCCCGTCGTTGTTTCCGTTGAGTGGGGTTGGCGTGGTTGCTAGGCGGCCGTGGTCGTTTGTTGGGTGTTGGTCGTCGTTTGCCGGTTGTTTTCGTCGCGTGTGTGGTTGTTGTCGTTTTTGGGCGAGTGGGGTTGTTTGCGGTGGTGGGGGTTCCGTTACCTGGCATGGCGGCGGCGTGGTGGTGGGGTGGATGTTGGTGTTGACGTTGGAAAGATGTAACGTCAGTAAGTCACAGCGTGTGACGTTGTTCAAACTCACCTGCACGCCCAAATTTTAATCTGTAGTGCCCACTATTTCTATTCAAATTCTGTAGTGTCCATTATTAAATTTTGTAGTATCCTATTTCTCATTTCACAACCTTGTAATGTCCACTTTGTGGGAATACAAAAGCTTGTAGAGTCCAGTTCTTGGGACTATCTAAGTTTGCAGGATGCTTGTAGTGTTTGCTTTTTGGGACTATACAAAAATTTGTAGTGTCCTCTTTTTCATTACAAGAGTTTGTCCTGTCCACTTTTATTACAGAAATTTGTAGTATCCTCTTTTTAAGAGTACAAAATTTTGTAGTGCCTGATTTCTTTTACCACAAAAGTTTGTATTGTCCGCTTTTTCATTACAAAATTTTGTAATGTTCACTTTTTGGGACTACAAGAATTTGTAGTCTCCTCTTTTTTCATTACCCGGTTTTTCATTACAAAATTTTGTAGTACCAGCTTTTTGAGACTATAATTTTTTATTACAAAATGTTGTAGTGTTCGCTTTTTGGGACTACAAAAATTTGTAGTCTCCCCTTTTTTCATTACAAAGTTTGTACTGTCCGCTTTTTCATTACAAAATTTTGTAGGACCTGCTGTTTGAGTTTTTAGTGTCCCCTTCTTCAGACTACAAAAGTGTGTACTGGTATCTTGTGGACTCTGAGAACATTGAGAAGTA